CTGGAAGGACAGATCCTGAAGCTGAGGCTCCAGTATTTTCACCAACTCATGAGAAGAGAAGACTCCCTGGAAAAGACCCTGGTGTTAGGAAAGTATGAAGGCAAGAGGAGAAGGGGACAACGGAGGATGAGATGGTTGGACAGGGTCATTGAAGTGACCAACCTGAATCTGACCCAACTCCGGGAGGCAGTGGAAGACAGGAGGGCCTGGCGTGCTCTGGTCCAAGGGTTGGACACGACTTAACGACTAAACAACAAAAATGTGTGTTTGTGTGTTGGAGAATGAATTTATTTATTTGATTGATTGATAAACCATCCTTCTGGCCAAAGTCCTATCTGGGTGCTTCATAGCATGAAAATTGCAGTAATAATAAGACACAACACAACTTAACTAAAACAATCCAAACTAAACAGAAAATAAACGATACGTTTTAAAATACAAGGACACTCAAAAGTAAATGGTAGTTAGATCAGGTGAGATGCTAATTGATTCAGCGGTCACCATGAATATATTATTTTGAAAACCCTGCCTGAATGACAAGAGTTTTTAATGATTTCTTAGCTTCCATGAGCTACCCGCCTTTTGGTGTAAATATGTGCCACTCAGAAGCTTGCACACTGCTTTTTGAGCTCTGAGGTTAATCAAATGAAAACTCGCTGCTTTCTAACTGTTGGTTATATCACGTTTGTGCAAATGAGTGGCATCCGGCCTTGATTTCTGTATTTGGAGGGCTGCAGTATCTCAGGGAATGGAGATCCCACTCGGGCCCCTCGTTGGCCGGCTAGTTGGCCCCCTTTCCTTCCGCCTTGGAGCGTGCTAGCTCAGTGGCTTGGAGGCATGCGCCACTTTGCAGGCTGCCTGCCTGCCTGGTGACGCCTGGAACGTGGGCCCTGCTTGCAGCCGGCTGCCTCCCGGGCACGCCGCCTTTGTCGGGCCATTCAGCGCAGCTCTGGCGTGTGGCTGTAATCGGCTGTTGACTCAGAAACCTGCTGGTGTGGAAGTGCGCTTGGTTCCCCCCCCCCCATGTTCCTACACAAATATGCTGCTCGCCCGGGTTCTTGCAAACGCCCCTTCCATTCACCCACTCACCCACCCGCCCACCCCTTCATTCACAAAAGCCTTTTTGGCCAGAATCTGGACTCTGTGCAAACAGGGTGTTCTCCAAACAGGGGGGGGAACGTTTGCCTTCCTTCAGTCTTTATGGATTGTCAAACATCTCTTGACAGGTGGTGGCTCAGCCTCCCTCCCTCCCGGAGGAGCCGGGTGTTTGCTTTGCTGAGGAACCTTGTAGCCTCCGGGGAAGTATTTTGTTGGGCTTAATCAGAAATGCGGCCGGGTCCTCTTCTTCTTCTCTCCCCCCACCTGCCTCCCTCTCTTCTCCTCCGCCTCGCCTGGGGCCAGGCGTGTCGTCCGCCCAGCACCTGTCTCCAGCCTAACCCGGTGGTGGCAACAGCAGAAGGCGGCCTCTGTGTGCTTGACTGGATGCCAGGGCAAGGAAAGGATGAAGAAGGGGGCGGCACGGGGGGGGGGAAGGCAGGTAAATGCCAAGGAATGTGGCAGAAAGGTGGAGGAGCTTTTTGACCTAAGCGCCTTCCCCGGAAAGAAAAAAGAGAGATGGAAAGAGAGAAAGAGAGAGAACGTTTGTCTGCTGCTGGGCTGAGATCTTGCCAGTCCCTGGTGCATCACCTGTAAACGGGGAGGAGAACCTTACTAAGATTATCTTTTTCCAAGAACTTGGGTGCAATTTTTTTTTTTGCATTTTATGACCTTTTGCAGAAAACCTGCAGACATATTGTCAGTGCAAAAAGCTGCTCTGCATTTTGTGCAGAAAACCTTTAAACACAAAGGTGTCATGCATTAAAGGCCTTAGGCTTCTTGCTGAGCGAAACATCTCAGGATTCTCTCGGCCTGTGTCGGTGTGAAGAAATCTCGGAGCAGATGCTCATCTTGGAAATGTGGAGTTGGAAAGGGCTGATGAGGCCATCCAGTCCAACCCCCTGCTTGAGGCAGGAATACAGATCAAAGGAGATCTGCCGGGGGGGGGGGGGGTGTCTAAGTTTTTTTTTGAACGCCTCTAGCGTTGGAGCGCTCAGCAGCTCCCAAGATAATGGGTTCTGTGGTTGTACTGCTCTAACGGTTAAGAAGTTTTTCCTGACGTTCAGCCAAAATCTGGCTTTCTGTTGCTTGAGCCCATTATCATAGATCCTACACTCTGGGAGGATCGAAAACAGATCCTGCCCCTACTCTGTAGGTCTCCCTCTCAAGTCTGGCAAATGCTCTCCTCTCTCCCCTCTATCTTATTTTCTCCAGGCTAAACATGCCCCGTTCTCTCAGCCTTTCCTCCTAGGGCTTGGTTTCCAGTCCCCTGATCCTCCTTGTGGTCCTTCTCCGAGCTTGCTCCACTTCGCTGGCATCTGTCCTAAAGCGTGGTGTCCAGAACTTGAAATGGTACTCAAGATGAGACCTAACCAGTGTTGATTAGAGAGGGACCCGTGCCTCGGTTTCTGTTTTTTCTTTCTTTTTTCGACAGAGTATCGCAGTCTGATCAGCTACCTTTTCTAAGCAAGGAGGACCACAGTTGTGAGGATTTGCCCCCTCCTGATCTGGAGATGTTTGGTACAGTATTTTATCCTAGCATTAGGCTAAGTGCTGAGTTCATGGCCAAAAGGGATGCTGGAAGACAACGTCAATCGCGGCAGAACCCTTGGCGCCGTTATCGGCCAATACTGGCAGCTCCTGCGTCCAACCTGGAGGTCCCTGTTGACCTCTGGTGGGTTTTCTGTCCAGGGGCGAACCTGGCCTCAGGCGGCTTGGCTTCCAAAATCAGATGAGATCTGGTGCGTTCAAAATGACAGGCGGTGAAGACCTTCCCGTCCTTTCTTTTTTATTCCACATTTCTCCAAGACAGCTTGCAAAATATTTGTTCACATTCAGACGGTCAAGGTTGCTGGTAATTACTGCCATTTCTTCCTGGCCTATTTCCTGGGGTGAGTTTCTCGTAATCTGCACTCTCTGTGCAACAATTCAACGAAGGCCATCAGTTTTGGTATATTGATTATTCCCCTTTTTGTAGTAGTAGTAGTAGAAGGTAAAAAGGTTTATCAAAGGCCTGGTAAGGGCAGAAGTTAGATTTGAACTCAGGGGTTTCCTGGACTTGGGTAGCAATAATGAGCCAGTTTGCAGGCCATTTCCTCGGCGGTGCATCCGGTTGTTTATTTGTGGCCTTTTCCTCTCCAAAGCGGACTGGGTAGCTCGGCGCTTTAGGTCTCTGACTACAGAGCCAGAGGTTGGGAGTTCGATTCCCCGCCGTGTCTCCTGGGAGAAAGAGCCAGCCTGGATAGCCTTGGGCAAAAGCTACACCATCCCAAGAAAGGAAGCCACTTCTAAGGACTCTCTACCTGGAAAAACCTTGAAAAAGGGCCACCAAAAGTCAGAATTGACTTGACGGCGCATGATTAAATTAAATTTAAGCTGGCTTGATAGCTCCGTGGTTCAGGTCTCTGGCTGTGGAGTCAGACGTTGGGAGTTTGATTTTTCTCGCGGTGTTTCCTGGGAGAAAGAGCCAGCCTGGGTGGCCTTGGGTCAGTTGCACCGTCCCAGGGCACCCCCAGAAGAAAGGAAGGGAAAACCAGTTCAGCATGGGGGGGGGTGAGGCCATGTCATGTTCCAGCCATTCTTTAGTTGAACGAGGAACCACCCCCAGGGTGGACGGGGACCCGTCTGCATCCACGTCCTCTACCTTGCACGCTTGTTCTTGCTGAATCCCCATGCAAAGGTGCCAGGAGTCACACCCGGACTGAAACGGATCTCCCCTGCTCCCCCTCTTTGCTATCCCTTCGCTGGGGTTTTGGCCTCCCTCCTCTCCCACCCCCCCCCACCTCCGCTTCTCCACCCCCTCCCATCCCCTGCTCATCTTCCTTGCTGCCCTTCGGCGGTCTTGCCTCGGCGAACCGGTTTAGCAGAATGCCTTCTCCACCAGATCCGTCTAACTTCAGACGCTCTCCCATCAAAGAGGAAGTTTTAAGACCCTTGGTTTTTTTGGGGGGGGGACGAGGGCCCCCTCAAATTTTCAGCCTCTTTGCTCTGTGGCGTTGGGAGCTTCAGGACAAGCAAGGGGGGGAACACGGCTGTTTTTTACCTTCTCCCTCCCCAATTTTGGAAAAAAATAAATCCCATAAAGGGAGATCTTGCCACCAGAGATCGTCCCAAGCATCCAGACGGCTGTACTCGGTTGTGATTTTCCCTGTTCTCCAGCCCCTTTGGGGGAACCACGAGAGTCCGAAGTGATGTCTCAAAACGATGTCATGTTTTGATGGGGAACTGTTCACGATTTGGGGCTGGAAGAGATCAAGCAGAGCGCAGTTCTGGGATTATGCACGGGAGTGATGCTTCGCCAGCCT